AAGTGGACGCCCTGTTGGCCGACTACCGCACGGCTAGCGTGCAGGACACGCAGACGCAGGCAGCCATCACGGCCGCGCTGCTGGCCTACCGGACGGGCCCGGACCAGGACGTGTTCACGACCAACCAGATCACCTCGGCGCTGGTGGCGCACCGCTCGGCCGCCGACCAGGACACGGCGACGGCCTCGAGCATCGCAGCCGCCCTGCTCAGCTACTACACCATCGCGCAAATAAACGGCCTCCTGGCCGGCAAGCTCGGAGTCACGGAGGCAGCCTCGGCCCTGGAGATAGCCGTGCGCTTCCCGGACGACGGAGGGGCCGACGAGGTGGTGGCCGCCATCGGGGAGCAGATCCTGGGCCCCACGGACGTCTCCCTGGCAAACTGGTCGGTTCGTCCCAGCAGCGGATGCAGCGTGGTCCTGGCCACACACACCGTGGGCGCAGTCCTGACTGTCCGAGGCCGACAACGTCTACGACCCCCTGTACGGCAGCTTCGTGGGGGACCAGGGCGCCTGGAGCACGGCCAAGATGTACTTCACCGTGCCGCCGAACGGGGTTTCGGGGCGCACTTCCAGGCGCCGGACCTGCCCAACCAGACGGCAGGAACGGTGGACGTCTACGGGCTCCAGATCCTGGACGCAATTCTGGAGGCCCGACGACGTCACGCTGGCCACCCTGGGCGAGGTGCTGCTGGAGCCCACCCTGACCACACTGGGCAACTTCCTAGTGCGCTCCAACAGCCAGAGCTCCGTGGCCTCGGCCAGCTTCACGGTGGCGCGAGGCTCTTCTGGGAGCGGGCCGAGACCGATCTGGTCGAGCAGCTGCGTCCGAGCGCGTCTTCGACGCGAAGCTCACGCCCGAGGCCGTGCGCCAGCGGCTGCTGCCCTCTGTGAGGCAATCGCGCGGCGGCGATTGGATGCTGAAAGCAGCTGCCTGCCCACGTGGGAGGCTTCGAGCTGGAGGGCTACGCCATGACCCTGAGCGCCTTCGCCTGGAACATCGTGCGCACCTACACCCTGACGCCGGGGAGACGCTAATTTTTCCGGCACCGGCTGGGCACGGCCTCCAACTTGGTGATGTACGTCAGTTCCTCGGCACGGCCGCGCAGGGAGTCTGGAGCACGGCGCGCCTGGACTTCTCGTCGCAAAGCTGCACTCGCCTTCGGCGCATCGATCCCCGGCCTAGTGCAGCAGTCGGCGGGCACGCTAGACCTGTACAGCCTGCAGATCAGGGCCACTGCCTTCGAGAGAAAGTCGGTCTCCGTGACGGACCTGCTGGCCGACTCGCCCCTCACCACGCTGGACGGGCTCACTGCGCAGGGCAACGTGGGCTGCGACCAGCTGCTGTGCAACGACGTGAACTGCACGGACGTGTTCACGACGGGCGTAGACGCCTCGGGCGCGATCTCCTGCGCAGTGCTCACGGCCACTGGCACCGTCGCCGGAGCCACGCTGACGTCCACCGGCGCCGTCTCGGGCAGCTCGCTGAGCATCACGACCGGCAGCACCCTCACCATCAACAACACAGCCAACGCGGGACGGGACACCCTGACTGCCTCCGGCGCAGCGACCGCGGCGAGCTTCGCAGTCCACCGAGGCACTGAGCGGCGCTACGCTGACGATCACCGGGGCGGCCTCCACGGGCCCGCTGGACTGCGAGAGCCTGGACTGCACCTTCACGGCCACGAGCGGCGGCGTGCGCGGCGACGCGACGAGCTCGGGCACGGTCTCCGCCCCGCAATTGTTTGCGTCCAACACGCTCACCGTGACCAACACCTCCGACTTCGCGGACGACCTCATTTTGACGAAGAACTGGGCGGGCTGGAGCAAGGTCCAACAACAGCGCGGCACCCAACAGCGGCCCGGAGCTGTGGCTGCTGGACAACCAGAGTGCGCGGGTCTTCCTGGAGCGGGACGGCGGGGCGCACCAGTGCGAGCTCATCATGATCAGCGACGAGGCGCTGGTCCAGACGAAGAGTCTCTCGACGCAGCTGTCGCTCAGCCTGGTGATCGCCGGCAACACGGGCAACGTGGTCTGCAACACCAGCTTCACCGACCTGTCGGACAGCCGGGTCAAGACGGAGTGGGCAGGCAGGCCCACTCGGCTGCGGAGCTCATCGACTTCAGCCAGAACACGCGAGGGAAGACCAGGTACGCCTGGTGGTCATGGACGTCTGTATCCGGAGGCTGCTGTGGAGGCTGTGCTCAACAAGAACGCCAAGACGGTCGGCCAGGCCACCAAGCGGGCCACGCAGGAGCTGGTGGGGGATGACAAGAACTTCGTGGTCACGAACGACCTGGGCAGCGAATTCGCCACGCCGATCGCAACGTACGGCCATAGTGGACCGGGGCATCCAGGACCTGGCCACGCACGTGGCCCGCAAACGCGGGTAGTGGAGCGACCACTCTGAGCGAGCCGCGGGGGCCTGCAACAGTCACTTGTTGCACTTGGGGTGCAGCTGCAGGCTGCTGGGCTGCTACAGGAGGAACAGGCGCTTGACCTTGCGGTCCTTCAGCAGGGCCAAACAGGTCAAAGTCCACTTCGTCCTGTCCAGGTAAAGGCACGTTGGTCGGGTCAGCCGCCATTGCTGTCAAGCTGTCTTCTCGAGCGGGTTCTGCTTTTCTGCTTTCAGACACCATGCTCCGCTACCATGTGAAAAGTAGCGCAGCAGACAGCGAGCACACGCCTCACCTTTTTACTCACACTTGAAGCCTTGAGCCAAAGTTTGTTCAGTCAAGCGGAAGCTTGGTCACAGCTCTTCTGCAACCTTCTGGCTTGCAAGCTCGGCTTGGGAACTCGTATTCCCATGCAAGACAAATTACATGCTTCAAACACAAACCCTCAGAGTTCAAGCTCGTACTCTTTCAGAGTACTAGTCTCTTCACGAGAGCTTCTGAGCTCTTCTTCTCATCACTGGGCTAAAAGGCTGCATCAGCAGCACACCTGCGCAGCAAAACTCTTCAGCAAAACACTCGCGTGAAACGTGGCTTTCCAAAACACGTTAAAACTCTTCCTACCAACTCAAAACACTTCTGCTCTGCCAAAACTGTCTGTGTGCTTCCAAAAAGCGTTCAAGCAGCAAACAGGTCCTCCTCCTGCTCACTCCTACAAACTACCTACCAAGATGCAGCACACTCTACACTGCCAACATGCTTCCTAACAGCTTCAACACAGCTTCCCAAAGGAAAAGCTTCACAAAAGCGTTTCGACTAACAACAACAGCTCGCGCAAACAAAAACACAAACAAAGCGAGTGGGCAAAACGCATGCACTATACAAGCTCACGACTTCAGGACAACCAAAAATACTACCAGCTGAACTGGTGTCTTTTCACACAAATTGAATTTGAGGAATTAATTCAAGGAGCTTAAAAGGAATTCAAGAAAGGTGTTTTCGTCCCTTTGAGAATTCTAAACAATTTCAAACTTTCAAAAGCTCTCTTTAAGAAGTTCTCTTCTCAAACTCCCTTTGAAGCCTCTTCTCCAACCTCTTGAATCCCCTTCAAAGGTTTGGAAGACCCCTTGAAGCTCCCTCGAGAATTCAGCCTCCCCTTTGAAGCTTTTGAAGCCTCCTTGAAGCCTCTTTGAGAAACTTCCCTTCTCAAACCCTCCTTGAAGTCTCTTGTCAAACCTTCAATGTTCGACCCTCTTCAATGTTCGACTCCCTTCGACGCCCCTCTAACCTTCCTCGAATTCAATTTTGAGAAGTCTTCTTTCTCAAGTTCCCCTTCAACTCTCTTCTAAAGCTTCCTTCAAGCCGCATTCTTTTTTAGCAGGTTTGATGGAACTTAAGAAGGCTTAAGAGATGGCTTAAAGAGAATTAGGGACCGCTTTAGGGGAAACTGATGGAAGAAGCTTAGAGAGTTGAGAACTTGAGAGGAGAACTTGAAGGGAGTTAGTGTCTTGTGGGCTTTTCGAAAGACTCAAGAAGTGCCTAAGAGAAGGAAGCTTGTTATGAAAATCTGCCCTCTTTAAAACATCGTAAAGCGAAAATATGAAAATCACGCCCTCTTTTATTGATGTCAGTAAGCGAGAAAGAAAAAGAGTTGTTAAAGAGAGTTAGCTTAATGGTGGTTTTAAGGGGATTTCATCTTAGACCTCCTTAAGCAAGAGAAAAGATTAGTTTTTTTTGGTAACTTTCACACCTCCATGAACCTGTTTAAGCAAATGGAAGATCAGTTAAGTCAAAGAGGGAGTAGTAGCGCAGTGAAGAGCATCCTCATTTTTGGCAGTAGTATAAGCCAGAAGAATCAATTTCGAATTTGACCGCGTACGTGTTCGGCTTATAAAAAAAGCGGAGAGGTTGAGGGGGAGCGCAGCCTTCCCTGCGGGGGGGGTTGAGGGAGGGTGGAGCCCCCCCCCCTCTGTCTTATGTTTGGCTTTCCAAACTACCCCCGTTGCAGCGTGCCCCCCGGCTGTTTCGTTCCCGGGGTAAGTCCTTCCGCCCCGCCCCGGCTCCAACCCTTTCCCAAACGCGGCCCTGCAGCCCCAGCGCTGGCTTCTAGAAGGCCCAAAAGTGCGCGAAAAAAGCTCGCAAAATCTTTTGGGCCATAGTGCGGCCTGGCGGGGTGGAGTTTTGAAGGTTAGACTTCCACTACGGCTTTGGGCGGGTCGTCCTCATAAGATTCGACTCGGAAAGCGCCACAGCCGTCAAATGATGAGTGCTAGACTCGAGAAATACAAAGACTTCAAAAAGACTGCGTTTTGCACAGATACTCTACAAAGACTCAACACATAGAGTCGAAAGATTCCAGAAAGATTCCAAAAGACTAGCCGAAATTTCACCGATGCGCGCCGACTCGAACCGGAACTCCAACACGCAGATGTGTGCTGCAGACTTGAACCGAAAGAGCGATATTCTGACGATGAGTGCTGCATTGTCGTGTCAGTGTGATGGTCCAGCTTGCAGCAAACTCTATGCAAAAACTCCATGTGTCGAGAGCCTGAGTGCGCTGAATGTCAAGATAAAGATATGCGACATGAAATCATGATTCGCGCTGTTCTAAAGCAGTGGAAAGCAAATCCACCGGCCAACTGTGCCCTTGCACTCGCCTCTCTTTTTTGTCCAAGCCATACAGGCAACAATCTTATCCCAAGCTCGTGCTGCGCGCAGAGCCACGGGATCCTGGTTTTTCGCTCTTTTCCCTTCTTTTAACACCTTATTCATTATGTCCTTGACATCTTGTTCTTCGAAAGATTTCATAACCAAGTACCGGAGCTTCAGGTCATCAATCTCTTGCTTGAGGAGCTGCTCGTCTCCTGTGGTAAGCTTAGAGAGCTCAGCCTTCTGCAACCGTTCTTGCATCTCCTGCTCGGTAAAGGGATTGCGGGGAGCAGCGAGCGAAAGGACGCGCTGCTCGAATACAAGTTGAGGCCCGAACGTCTGCTTGCGGTTGAACTCTCGAAAGCTGTCTCTGGGAACGACCCAGTAAATAACAATCTTGGCGATGTCAAGACCCCGTGCAGCATTCTCCAAGGCGACAAGATCCAGGGAGTGTTTTGCGCTGACGGTGATCTGGAAGCATGTCATCACGCCGTCCTTAGGGGTATGGGAAAAACCAGGGGCACAAAACGCAAGCACTGCACACCAGCGCAGGCACTTTGACAGAACACATGCTGTTCGGGTCCTCAACAGGAGACAGGCATGAATCAATGACCGGCAGGCCCACATCTCTGGGCCGCATGTATCGTAGCTGCCCAGTGGTGGCAGCTGTGAAAAGATCGGCGATGCTGCCGTCCACCACCTCTTCATCGAGTGGTGGAAGCTGCATCTCGAACATGGGAACGGTGACGTTGGCCAGCCGCGTCAGCAGCAACGTCCCCCGGCAGAGCACTTGGTGGGCGAAGCGTTCGTAGAGAACTCCGAGGACGGGCTTTGCAAGCGGATCAAACGATGTCAAAAGGTCAGCCAGCTCCGCCTCATACTCGTGAATGGTGAGGTCGAGTGCCTCTTCGCTAACAAACTCAACCCTGCTGCTGGTGCAACCGTTTTCCGGCACTATCTGGAAGAGCCAGTGCGCAGGCTTCAAATCACGTCCCTGATCAATGATGCCCGATGTCCAAACTTGCCTGACCAAGTTCTGGTTCGACAGGGTTGCATTGCGAGCCATCTCCACCTCCTTAGGGTCGCCAATCAGGTGTCGAAGAATACCACCAAATCGCCTGTAGAGCTCTTCCACCTGGTTCTGGTCGAAGTTGGGGCGGAGGTACTTGACTATGCACTGGGCCTCCTGCAAGGAGCAAGCTGCCATGTACAGTTTGCATTTGGGGAGCTTCTTGAACTCTCCAAGGTGCTGCGGATCCGGTGACGGGCAAATGACAGTCTTGGCCGCTACGAAGCAGACGCCTCCCTTTTCAGCCTCGCCGGGGTCGATGACATAGTAGTTCGCAGGGACTCTCAGCTCGTCACACGCTGCCGGTTTCCAGTCTTCCAGTTGCATGCTGCCGACCTCGTAGGTGCCGTCGGTGCGCGGCTTGAACAAGTACACCATGTTCCACCTGCGTGCTTCGAAGACAAAGGTCTTCTTTGCTTTCATGAGGTCGCGGAACAAGAAGGACATGGAGAAGGATTTGCCGATGCCGGGCGAGCCGGTCACCACCACATCCTGCGACGCATTGAAGGCCGCCTGCCAGACCTCTCGTTGCTGCTTTCGAACGAAGAGCCATGGCTTGGCTTCTTTCGGATCCAAGCTGGCGTTCAACGGGAAGATCTCGATACCGGCATCTTCTGCGGACTCTACGTCGGTGAAATTCTCATCAGCGCAGTCCAGAGCCGTCAGCGGCTGAGCCATGCGCAGCTCGTTGGCAAATGCCGTGTCCTTGGCGTCCACGACCCACTTGAGGCTACTCGAGGCGGACGCCTGCGCACAACAAAGCTGGAGACGCCTCCCGACGGCCTAAGCCCTGCACCCCAAAACAATGAACTTGTCTTGGTTGCCTGACCCGCTCCCAAAGCCAATCCCGACAACCAGTCTGCCTGGTATCCATTCCCAGATTGCAGCTCAGCTGCAAAGCTGAAGCTAAACAACAGCCCGCACAGTCTGACCTCGAAGGTTGTGCCCACAGCCCAACCCCGACAAACCAAGAAAGCCACCGAGGATATCGCGACAGCAGGGTGGCCAAGCACACAAACACAGATGCATAACCACAGCCTCCCGCGCACAAACAACCGTAGCCTGAGAGCAACGCATCCTCTCTCACCTCCAGTTTGACTGAATGAACGCAGGGTTGAGAAAACAGGATACCCCTCCGCATTCGGGTGCAACAGATTTGCAGGAAACCTTTGCCTGAGCCGCAAAGGTGCCTCCCACTCGACAAAACGAACGGGTGCAACCAGATTTTGTGAACCGCCAAGAGCCGTCGCTCCGAAAGCCTCTCCCACTCCCCGAACTGCTGCAAGCCAACACAGTGCAGACACCCTAACGACGAGGGGATCCTTGCTGAGAGGAAAGCATCACGCCAAAAAGCAACAACGGTGGACCGCATGAAAACGCACGACGACCAAGAGCCCCGGACAAGCAGGAGTGCTACAAACCGAAGGCAACATGCCCACGCAGAAGCCCTTCCAGAACCCCACTGCTCTCAAGGTCCGCGCGCTGAAGGCAAGCACTAAGAACTCAGGGTTGACTCGCTTGACCCCCCCACAGTAACCTTAAAGTCGAGCCTCAAACAAAAGCAACCGCAACCTGGAGAGCGAGCGCAAAGCGAGCGCAAAACAGGCTGACCTCCCCACCTCGAACCTAGGACTGACACCCCGTTCTGAAGCATCAGCCAAACACAAAGAGCAACCAGATTTGCATGAACCTAAAGCAGCCAAGAGCCCTCTGCAAGCCAAAACACTGAAGCTTAACGACGAGGGGACCGTTGCTGAGAGGAGAGCATGACCCCAAAAAGTAAAAAAGGTGGACCGTACTTAGTGCGAAAGCCGAGCACTAGGAAAGCAAGGAACACAAGGGTACCAAAACCGAAACAAAACCAAATTTCCAGCAGGAACACTGCCCATGAAAGCAAAGCGGGAGATGCGTGGTTCAGCTCAACAATCCTTTTGTGGGGCTCCACGCTGAGCAAAACCACTGAGTTCCCAGGAACCCCGACAAGGTTGATGAGGGGGGAGAGTGGCGTCAAATATGTTGAGGTTCTGTGGATGTGATCAGGGCAGCCCCACTGAAAGCATTTCCGCGGGGGAAATCAAAACCACACAAAACGTCAAACGGCACGTCTCAACGTCACCCGGCAGCAGAAATACATTGTGCACACTTTAGCAATCTCCTCCATGCTCGTGCTGTCGGAACAAAATTAACCTTCGGATTGCATTGTGTCTGCAGCAGCAACGACCATGGCAGAAGGGTAGGTCTTGCTCTTCAAAAGGCAGGCGACTGGAACAGCAGGCTCTTCAATATTTGCGGGTTCCCCCTCGACTGTTTGATAGTTTTGCGCTCCACTAACCACTCACGCCAAATCAGGCAGATATGAACAGGTACGGAGAAAATTGAACAACAGAAGGGGATGGAATGGCAGCAAAACGGGCAAAACATCGAGCAAGAACACTGCGAGTGGATGCAAAGCCGGGAATGGTTGAGCTCACTGCATCAAAGAGAACATTCATAGAATGCACTTGTGCCTGCAGCAGCAAGGGCCCCAATGGGTGCAAAGACATCAGAGTTTGCCCTCCCTCTCCCCGGCAGACGGGCAGGTCTTGCTCTTTCAAAAGCAGGCTGGGGGCAAGCACAAAATCACTCACAACGATCAACGGCACGTCTCAATCAATGTCGACCAGCTTTAAACCCCGACCTCCAACAAGGAAAGGCAACCATCCGTTCATGGGGGGTCCCTACCGAGCCTGCCAACGACACGAACCGCCGCAATCTGCAAAAATGCTATCTTGGGATTTCCTGGTTCTCTGGATGCGATCAGGGCAGCCCCACCAAAACCATGTGCCGGCCGCGGGGGGAATTTTCAAAACCACACACAACGACCAACGGCTCAGAACGCAGCCGGCCGGCGGAAGCGACCGACTCCGCCCGCCTCGGACTCCTTCGTCCGGCCGCTTGCCTTCGCCTCCTTGACCTCCTTCTCCGCCTTCTCCACCTCCTTCTTCGCCCTCTCCACCTTCCTCTCCGCCCTCTCCACCTTCCTCTCCGCCTCCTGCACCTTCCTCTCCGCCTCCTGCACCTTCCTCTCCGCCTTCTCCACCTCCTCCTTGGCCTCCTGCACCTTTGTCGCATTGCCCGAGTCCTCCGTCTCAACCTGCCGCTGGGCGCTCTCAACCTGCCGCTGGGCGCTCTCAACCTGCCGCTGAGCGCTTTCAACCTGCCGCTGGGCGCTCTCAACCTGCCGCTGGCCCGTCTTCCGCTGCTGTCGCGCCAGGAGCAGGTCCTGCCCAGGCCGACTCCCACGCCGAGCGCTCGAACGCGCTCGAACGGACGGCCTCCTCCAATGCCGTTTTGGCTGCTTTGGCCTGAAAAGCACCCACAACAAACGTGCATTTTGAAAATGTCACGAAAGCGCTTCTGAATCTGACCTGTTGGTAAAGGAAGCAAACACTGCTGCCTCTGCCACAAACTTCCGTAGCTGCTTCTCCAATTCGGGCTCATTAACCCAAACCTTCCACTTCCCTGCTGGATCTACCAGCTGCACTCTTCCTGAGCTCAACCGCGCCTGCAAATCCACAACGAACGTATTGACGTGCTGCTAAAGCGGCGCATGACCACTTGCATGTCTTTCAGCGTGCCGTTGTCCACAACCCGTTTGGCTTCTGCGACCACCTGAGCGAGACAAGGCTGGGACGTCGCTTTCTCTGAAGGCCCGCCGCCTCCTCGAGATCGAGCCGGTCCTGACAACCAACAAGCCCAACGTTCAAGCCCGATGCACGTGTCCCCCAGGCCTGGCCACTGTTGTCCTGGCGGCAACCGGCAAAAGATGCGAACAGGCTTCGGGTCGGAGGAGTCCTCTTGCGCAGCCCCGGCGCGCCGAGCGACTCCGGCATGCAACGGGTGCCGTTTTGCCTGAAAGAGCCAAAGTGCAATCTGCTTGCGCCTGCGGGCAACTCTGAGAACTGGGCCAATATGCTGTCCTGGCACTCAGCACGAAACAAGAACATCCAAAGGAGGGACATCATGCTCCTTCAGCCCAGGAACTCCTCGAGCAAAGTCCTGGGCGGCGGCGACAAGGGACTCCTGAAACCCGAAAACCTTCGAAAAAAATGTGTCCCAAGACCCAGGCCGTGCTCGGCTGCACGAGCAGCGCCAATGCAATCCCGAGAAGGCAGAGGCACATACCTGGCCGCTGCCTACCGCGGGCACGGTAGCGTCACAAGCTTGCCAGCCTCGGCTTTTGGTCCTGGTCCGCATCATCGCCATGGCTATTCGAAAAGCGCTTGAGCGGCCTGCGATTCCTCAAGCACTGGCACTAGACCCATCGGGCAACCATTGCGAGCTGTTGTTGTGTCAGTGTTGATGAGTACCCTCGAGCCAAGTTTCCAGAGCAAACACAAGATTGACTGGCTTCTTTGGCAACACCAACGCACGGGTTTGGATGCTCCTCCTCCTTTTCACTCGCGGCCTGAAGGTCGGTCGGGCCAAGCCTTGCAAGGCTTCGCAGCGTCCATCCGTCAGACTGGCTGACCCACATCCTGCCGCTGCATCAAAGTCCAAGCGAGATACCAAACTGGCCTGCCTGCAAAACAAGCAGCCGAAATCGGCACCGGGCCGCCAGGGGCTGAAGGGCGGGGGTTTCTGGGGTCCCTGGTCCCTGCAATCACTGGGGCCTCTGGGGTCCCTGGGTCCCTCCTAAGGTCCCTAGGGTCCCTAGAGTCCCTGGGGTCCCTGCACACATGTGCATCAGACGCCTCGCCAAGGCCCCAGAGTGCGCTCGTCCCTGTCAACGCACGGCGGGTTCAGGGACCTTGGGGACCTTAGGGACCTTAGGGAATTTAGGGACCTTAGAGACCTTAGGGACCCTAGCAACCCTGCAAACCCTACCCTAGGGACCCTAGGGACTCCGAGGACTTCAGGGACCCAGCGACCCAGGGACTTCAAGAGATCCTTGGTGGCCCCAAGGATTTTGGGGCTTGAAGGGATCTTGGCAAGAACTTCACGCCGGGCACCACTCAGCCTGGGCATTCTCCAGCATCATAGGGTCATGCAAAAACACAAAATGCCGAAGCCAAGACACACACACACATTGCAAATGGGCCACAAAACCACAACATCATCTCCCAACTACAAACACGGATGTAGAAAACATCATGTAGAGACATACCAACATAAAGGCACAAAGACATAAAGATATAAAGATATAAAGAGAAAGGTATAAAGATACAAAGATATAAAGATATGAATTTGTAGAAATACAAAGATATAAATGTATGAAATTCATAAAGAGATACAAATACGTAGAGATATGAATATACAAATGTATGAAAATAAATAGATATGAGTACACGAAGATAAATAGATGTATGGAAAGTTGCTCGAATGGAAAAACAACAGAAGCTTTGCCCTTCCGCGCGTCTTTGTGTCTCCTTGCGTGGCAAGCTGCAACCAACCGAAGCTTGAGAGATGACTTCCCAAGACCCAGGGTTGCTGGGGTCCCTAAGGTCCCTGGGGCCCCTAAGGTCCCTTAGGGTCCCTGAGGTCCCTAGGGTCCGTAAGGTTTCTGGGGTCGCTAAAATCCCTGAAAACGCCGTGTGTTGACAAGGATGGATGCACTTTGGGACCCTGGCGCGACGTCTTGATGGAAGGACGTTGTTTCATGGCACCTGCAGCGGACGCCCGCGTGCCCAGGGACCCAGGGACCCCAGGGACCCCAGGGACCCTAGACACCCCAGGGACCCTCGGGACGGACCGTCAGGGCCTCACTGGGTCAAAGATCAAGGAGGCTGACAGATTGGTGACAAAGATCAAATGACAATAACCTGCACGGGACCTCTTGGCCATGACAATGGAACGCGGCGAGGGCCCGGGCGGAACGTGGAGCTCGAGGCGCAAGCTCAAAAGTTCGGAGTGCCTGAGCGCCAGGAAAAAAAATGCGATTTTGAGGAAACCACGCTGCCTGACTTACAAAAAACCTGACAGTACGACTTGACGGGGTTGGGGCAATCGCTCTCAAGGTCAAGGGTTCACCAGGTTGGAGAGACAATACAAATGCGGGCCTGGCTCAACGAGGTCACGATTTCCAAAGATACACGGGCCTGACGGCGCGGCTTGACGGGGTTGGGAAAAGCACACAAAAAAGCAACGCGAGTCGCGCAAATCCTGGCACGGGACGGGGGGGGGTGTCCGGGCCTCGCTAGGCCAAAGATCAGGGGGCCTGACAGATTGGCGAGTTGGGACCCAAACCTCAAAGATCAGTTGGCATTGATGGCCATGACAACGGAAGCAGCGAAGGCCCGGGCAGTATGCCTCGATGTCAAAACAAAGCCTGGCACGCGAAAACACGACCTTCAAAATCCAGGACCAAACCTGAAACACTGCTCAAAGGCCGAGTTGACACCAATCCGCACAGGTGCCCAGCCAAAGAGTCCCCAGTAGCACGAATTGGATCCACCTGCAAGCGGCCAACAAAAAGTGACAAAAAGGCAACTCCAAAGCGCGGCGCTGCGAGAAGATCTGCACGTCGAAGTCTGGGCACAGGGCACGTGAGGTCAAGAAAAACTGTGAGTCTGGAACCACGCCTTTGCACCCGCGAGCGGTTCCCTGCCGCCCGGACCCCAGAACGTCCCCGAATCTCGCCTTCACAAGGCTCACGTGCTTGGGGAAGCTCTTTCCAAACACGACCGACAACGTGAAAATCGTGAGAAAAACACAACACCGGCACCTGGCATGCAAAATCACGCTCAAAAACCACGCAAAACGGAATTTACGGAAGAACAAACAAAAAGGTGTTTTTTCCGGAAATGGCGGCCCTCGAGCCGCGTGAGCCGAGGGCCGTCCCTTTGGTCGGACCATTTTGTTGTCCGCCCTATAGAAAAAGGACTGGCAAGCAAGAGTCAAGATGACTACCATCGCCACTAGCGTCGCCCTGGGCGAGGTGCACACGAGCCCCAAGGGCGCCATCTGGCAGTCCGCGTGGACTCACGTCCTCTGGGAGCCCAGCAGCTTCGGCGAGGACCAAGGACCCAGGCAGAACGCCTGCCTTGCAATGGAAAGGGATTCCGAGGCCTGGGCGGCCTGGGAGGAATTCAAGAAGAGGTGCGTTAACGAGCTGTCTTCGCGGTCGAGCCGCATTTGGGGCGACTACGGCGATGTGAAGGACGGGTGGCAGAGCTGCCTCAAGGAGTCCCGACAGGGAGCGACCTTCCTGAAGTGCAAACTGTTAAGGCATGTTGCACTGCTCCTAGCTTGAACCCAAACATGAACACCCAAAAGAACAATGCAAGTCCGAAGCGGCCGCAGTTCTTTTTACCGGGATTGCTGAAAGTAGCACTGCTTCCAGGGCACAGGTGCGCCTGGAACAGGAGGTGCGTTGACCCCCCGTGAAACTTAAAAGGCAAGACAATGCGTGTCCTTGCAAATGAATGCAGTGCTTGCAGGGCGTGGCATGCGTGCCCACGCCCAACGGTAGTAGTAAGGAATGTCTGCTTATACTACCCTATTAATTTTCGGATTTGGGTCCCCAAACCCTGCAAAACAGCCAAATTCTCCAACCAGCTGAAGGTTTTTCCGATGTCACCGGTCTTTGTCACCACTCCGTTTTTGGTGCAAAAAGCGCTGAAAACGGCGAACTCCGAAAAGTGCGTTTTTTCGTGTCAGACGTCAAAAGTGGAGCCCGAGCCTCCAAGTTCGCTCGTTTTCCGCCGAAAACCGGCTCCAGACGTTCGCCGTGCTCCGAATTCCGTTTTCTGCCCTGAAAAGCCTGCGAATTCCAGCCCGCCGAACTCGTCACCGCTTGTCACCGCTTTGTCACCACTCGCTTTTTGGGTGCAAAAGTGCGTAAAATCGGGCCCAGTTCCCGAGCTCCTTCTCCGCAGGGTTTTTCGCGGCCCGTCAGCCCGCCGAGGTCCAGGCTCGGAGTCCGACAGCCCGCCGAGGTGGTCCGTCAGCCCGCCGAGCTTGTCACCACTGATGTCACCACTGATGTCACCGCTCCATCCGGCTCCGGTTTTTGGTGCAAAAAGCGCTCAAAACGTTCGAGTCCGAAGAGTCCGTTTTTCGTGTCGGACTGTAAGTGGGATGCCCGAGCCTCCAAATTCGCAGGTTTTCGGTGGAAAGCGGGCTCCAGACAACCACTTTGCTCAGTTTTCCGCTTTCGGGCCGGAAAAGCGGCGAATTCCAGCCCGCCGAGCATGTCACCGCTTGTCACCGCTTCGTCACCGCTGTCCGTCAGCCCGCCGAGCTTGTCACCACTGATGTCACCACTGATGTCACCGCTCCATCCGGCTCCGGTTTTTGGTGCAAAAAGCTCAAAACGGTCGAGTCCGAAGAGTCCGTTTTTCGTGTCGGACTGCAAGTGGGATGCCCGAGCCTCCAAATTCGCAGGTTTTCGGTCGAAAGCGGGCTCCAGACGTCAGTTTTCCGCTTTCGGCCCGGAAAAGCGGCGAATTCCAGCCCGCCGAGCATGTCACCGCTTGTCACCGCTTGTCACCGCTTCGTCACCGCTCTCTTTGGGGCCGAAAAGTGCGCAAAAGGCTTGGAAAAGCGAAACCAGCTCCGCGGCTTCGGTCTGCGGGCCTGGAAAAGTGCGCAAAAGGCTGGCCTGGTGCGGGCCTGGTGCGGGCCTGGTGCGGGCCTGGTTGCGGGCCTGGTTGCGGGCCTGGTGCGGGTGGTGCGGGCCTGGTGCGGGCCTGGTGCGGGCCTGGTGCGGCCCTGGCAATCCTGTTGTGGGCCCAGGATTGCTGCCTCAATCCTGCTGTGGCAACAGGATTGCTCCGGCCATTCCTGCGCCACACACAGGATTGCCCTGATGCAGCACCAGCAGCTCAGGCTTGGAGCTGTTCTTGCCCGAGCACAGCCTTGTGATGGAGCCGGCCCTGCTGTAGAGCTCCCAAGCTTCAGGCACGTCGTTTATGCTCACAAGGAAGGGCAGGCCGCTTGCGAAGAGCGCGTCTCGGAGCTCTGAGTGGAAGGCCAGGTCATGCCCCCGCCTCCTCGTGCCATAGTAGTTCATGCTGCGGCCTGGGAAGATGTAGGGAGGATCGGCATAGATACAATGCCGCGGCGCTTGGCTGGGCAGAGCGCGTAGATGGGCCAGTGCGTCCTGGCATCGCACGGTCACGTTTGTGGGAGG